TAATTGATTAAGTAACTTGGGGAATTGCAAATTATTGTTTAGTTATGCAGGGGTTTATGCTACCCAAGAAACGCCCTTTCTATGGAAAGTCTTCTGCCGCTAAAAGAATGCAAGCACAAAGAGCAGCTGAAACAGAAGAAGAACGCAATCAAAGACTTCAAGCACAAGCTGCGAGACAGGCTGCTCAAATACAGGAAGATACTTTGGAACAACATAAATTTAGACTTCGAGCTCAATCTGAAAGGCAAGCTACTCAAAGACAGGAAGAAACTGTTGAACAGCACAAAGCCAAAGTTCAGTCAGAATCATCAAGGCAAGCTGAGTATAGACAACAAGAAACTTTTGAACAAAGTCAAACCAGACTTCAAGCACAAAAATTAAGACAAATAACTTACAGAGAGCAAGAAACAGAGGAGCAGCATGATGTACGACTTCAGGCTCAAAGAACAAGACAAGCTCAAACACGATCGAATTTCAAATAAAGCTTTGTTTGATTAAATGCTTTTTTATTTCTCGCACCACAGCTTTTGTCTACTTACTGAATAATTTGCTGAAAAAATACTGATCTATAAATTTCAAATCTAAATTTTCCCCGTGCAACGCCGGGTAATTCAGCTAGTATAATATAAAACCAAACCTATTCCAAGAACAGTTGATAACTGCTTCAAAGTAGATCGGCTCTAATTAACCCAGAAAGGTCAAGCCAGTAATAAAGAATCTCATTCTACGTAAATTAATGTTTTTGTTTTCTAATGGTCTGAGTATAAACAAGACTTACGCCAGACAATTCTTTCTCGCTTATGAAATCATACGAAAATTCCACTTCTATATGGGCTGTTTAGTGCTGATACAGAGGCAAACTGCACTTTTTATGTGGTCATGGTTTGTGTCTTATTACTTCTGAGAGTTGTACACTGCAATATATAGCACTGAATGATGAAGTAAACATGCTATAGCAGATGAAAAGTTAGACAGCTTTCATATATCTTTTAGAATAAAAAGCATAAAAAGAGGCGTAAAAAACACACCAAAAAAATTTCCATCTAATAAAACCTTACACAATTTCGTTAGCTGCATCGCTTACGGGCAAAAGGGGGCATATTTAATATTAAAAGTTCATCTCCAAAGCCATCTTTCAAGATACTTTAAAGTATCCTGATGTAAATGGCTTAAACTCTGAACTTGGGGAAAACTCACCAATACTCTCATCTTTTTTATTAGTATTTTTCATAAATAATATACTGCCTTTATTCTCATTAACTTTTAAATATTATATACCAATTAATATTCCATATCATCACTTTATCTGGTTTGTGGAAGTTGGAGACAGCTCGATATAACAATTTTATTTGTTAATGACACAGTTTATGCTATTGTATGTGAACTAATACGCTTTATTCTTTTAATTTACAGCAACAGTTTATGAAGATATATTAACTATATTTTATAAAGATACAGATATAGTGTTACCAAAAACAATTATTTAAGCAAAAACCACACAAATTGTTCCAATTATCCAAAATTGTGGTCGAACTCTTTAGTTTAATAGAATGTTTAGTGAAGTTGATTGTATTACGGCAACAAAAAATCACAACCCAACGTAACTTAGAAGTTGTTTAATGCAATCACTTCTGGTAATGAACAGACTATTAACTGAACCACATAATACAGGCGTGGTGTAAAATTTATAAATTTTGATAACATTTTTTTTAAATAATATATTCAAAACTTTTTTTAAAGTTTTCAACTACCCATCAAACTTTAGAAATATTACTTATTCAGTAGTGCATGCAATAACTAGATATTACAGAGTTCGTTATATTGAAAGGGGTGAGGCAAGTCTACAAAATAAGTGTTATTCCAAACATTTTAGAGTTTATCTAATAACATCATTTTTAATTATGTTTACGCTTGACTGTTTTACATGTTTTACCTTATTGGCATGTTCTGGTATTTCAAATATTTTAAGATCAAACTTAAAAAGGAAACACGGAAACCATATTTTGTTTTACTGCCAAATCATAAAGGTATAAATGTCAGTTAAAGATTATGTTTTAACGCTTTGTATTCTATACGAGAACAGGCGTCTTGTAGCATCCACATTTTTGATTCTGGCTCTTTTACGTTTTATGTGGATGAGATAATATCAAAGCTTAATTTTTTGTATTCACACTTTTGACATGAGAAAATCAAACCTTTGATTTTATTTAAAGTACTTGTAGCGTAATTCACGGCTTAACTAGCTATTACTTTAGGACATTTTTATATTAGAATATAAAATACTATACGATACAGTAAACCTGATTCGTATCAACATAAGCAAGCGATAAAACGTAATACAACATGTAGTCGTTTTATCCAAATCATCCTGTTAAAAGTCAGCTTTAAATGGTTTCTTAGTTGTTCAGGTTAAGTAGTTAGCACACAGGATTACCTATAAAAGTTGTAATATTTTCAAAACGAGCATCCAAAACTCGAGCGCTGTCGAATAGTCAACTCGTTTTGAAAATATTATTTAGTTGTTCGATATTCTTTTTTTATTATTTATATTTTATTCGAATTTTATCTCCAGTTCATGTACATTTTTAAATATAAAGCAGTACGAGAACCCTTAGATTTTACTAAGAATGGGACTGCGCGGATTTAGTACTTTACGTTAATAGATACAAAACATATATAAATAATGTTTACCTTTCTGAACAGCTTTGTAATTGAGGTGAACAAATTACTATACAAAAACTTCAGTCTGATGAAACCTTAAATGATTTTTCATCCATCCTTGTAAAAATCATGTTCATATACAGCCAATTTAGTTAAATTACCCCCCCCCCCCACCGCAGTGGCACAGCGGTATGTGCAAAATGTCTAAAGACTTACAACGCTATAGACAGGGTTTCTATATCCCAGGTGGGTAGAGCACAAATAGCCCATTGCGTAGCTTTGTGCTTAAACTACAAACAAACTTATGAATTGCAAGTTTTTGGTTTATTTTTTAAAGCACAAACCTATAGAATACCTCAATATAAAATATACACATTTTGGATAACCATGTACAGCTCAACCTTTCAACTCATAGGATTTCGGAATAATTTTTGTTTCCAAAATATGTTTAATATTTAATGCATTAGAATACAAACTATTAGTTCCTTGTCAACTTCAATAGCCTTTACTTAAAAGTTTTACAACGTATGTATTTCAAAGAACATATACACTGCATTGGAACTTGTTTTCAGTACATTTTAACTTACGTAGTAATGTAATTATATTACGGGCATATTGTGTTTATGTTACAGATAAAGGTTATTTATTTCGAAAATACTCTCGGGCTTAATTATTGACCTTCCTATAAAAGTTTATCTCTCAGTTTAGAAATATATCAAAGTTTTTGTGGTTTATGTTCCATAAGTTCTTCGTCATTTCTATTTTTTAGGCAGTGTACCTGTTCATTTTCACAGCATGTTTATTTCAAGCTCATGCCATGTATCATACAACAGGTAGGTAATATCTTCTGCTAAGGTATCATAATAAAGAATATATCTCTTTTATATTACAAGTATTAAAAAAATGCAAAAATTAAGTATGAGATAGGGATGGCAAAGCTAAAGAGTACAGAAACAAGATAGGAGTGAATACACAAAACCATACAAAACTCCTTACATAAAAAGCTAGTAAGTACCGAGTCAATCTTACAAGGTTATGGTTATCAGCCACTGTAAGACTATATATCTATATTCAGTCTAAATGCTTTTATTCAAAGCTAATTCGTGCAATTGATAGGAATTCAGCATTTAGTTGTAGACAAAAGTTATTCTTGGAAAGATTTGGTTTCTTATTTAGTGTTTTTTGTATGGTTTTGTGTGTTCATGTCTACCTTGTTTCTGTACTTTTTGGCATTACCATCCCTACATCATACTTACGTTTTGCAAATTTGTCTTTTATTACTTGTTTCCCCTCTTGTTTTAAACAATTTCATTGAAGTAGGTTGATAAGTGAACATATGTTTTATTTTCATAATTCAGTGGTAATATATATTGTTAATATCATATCAGTTTTGTCATTTTCTTCATTGCACTTGTAGAATGACTTCAGATTTTGATATTATACCATACAATTGGCTACAATATATTATTAATCATCACTGGTCATAATCTTGACTTCTTGGGGCTTAATGCTGAGGAACCTACACTAAGAAAAAAGCACGTGAAAAATTTATAGCAGTATCATCCCTATATTCATGTTTGCATCCTTCTTGGTACTACTACTATCCCTACATCATTTTACATTTACAAAATGTTTTTATTGTTTGTTTTATGAGGTTTTCCGCTGACTGAAACATAATGTATTCTATCAATAAGTATAAAAAAAAATAATATTATGTGTATTGATTGTTTTTACTCTTTCTCTCCATACATAATATGTTACAGTCATCTAACGTTCATCTAGTGATGGCTGGTACTTCTTGTTTCACCATGTACTTTTTAAAGGAACATCAGCTTTCTGTAAAAAAGCTAATTTCAGGGGATGATGAGAACATCGCTTACGCTATAATTATGATTTTTTTTTACCTTATACTAAGCACTACCATGCTTAGCGATAGCCTGTTCCAAAATACTCTTAAGGTGCTTTTCTGTCGTACTAAAGCCAAATCGAAAATTCACACATTTTTTTGGCTAGCGTGGAAAAAGAAACTCGTTTGTTTATTATGAATTTCGACAAAGCTACACGAGGGCTATCTGCGCTAGCTGTCCCGAGTTTAGCAGTGTAAGACTAGAAGGAAGGCAGCTAGTCATCACCACCCACCGCCAACTCTTGGCCTACTCTTTGACCAACAAATAGTGGGATTGGCCGTAACATTATAACGACCCCACGGCTGAAAGAGTGAGCATTCGAACCCGCGACCCGCAGACTGGGAGTCAAGCGCCCTAACCACCTGGCTATGCCGGGTCGAGGAAAAGAAGAAAGAAAAATAAACACTTTGGTTCTTTAGCCAGTTCTCAGTTCTCCACTTTAGCAACACTGTTGAATGATATTGGGAGTCTCACAAGTTGTGAAACATTCGATAATGGCAATTATGTGCTCAAAGCAGGCTAAAGCTCAACCTTAGCAGTTATATGTAAGCATCATATAGTAATAGATTGAAAGCGACAGCCATTTTTTTTCTCGGTCAATCCCTACCGTGCTTAGTGATATGTTTGATTGTGTGAAAATTCTTCTTCCGTTTTGCTTATATTTGATATCTATTACAAAACAAAACGTTTGTTTTATTATTCCTTTAGCACTAAATTGCTACTTATCAATATGCTTATCAATAAAAATATAATTATTATTTTCACTTAGTTTCTATCATAAATACGTAAGAATGAGCTGCTTCTGAAATCACAATTTCTAAAAGAAACTAAAAAGTAATAATTAGTATGAAATATTGTATAGTACTTATCATTAATTATACGAATGAATGCTTAAAAGTGTTTATACTATCTATTAAGAATCACTATACTGATTTAAGCCAATAAACACATAATTAGTACAAAAAAGTCTGTCCATATAGGTAAAATGTTCTAACAGAACTGACATTAACAAATCCTGTACATATACATTTCGTATAATAGTTAAATACATCTCAGTGTTTTCTCTTTTAAATTATATTAATATTGCATCATGAATTCAATTAATTTGTAATTGAAAATGTATCAGTGTGTTAGTGTACACTTAATAAACTAACTAATCTACCTTTTTCGCTTCTCAGTTATATTCGTAGGAAATTTGTTCATGATGATCTTGGCGGCCATGAGCGTGATAGCTTCAGTCATTCTTCTGATTGGAGTTTATGCGGTAAGTTTAATTGTATTAAGACTTTGATGATGAATTTTAGTCATTATGAATAAACAATTAAATCAAAATACTGGTTACTTTATATCTTATATAATTACATTTTTATACATTTTTTATATTTTAAACTTACTCTGGCAGGATCGACGAATTTTTCTGCTCCCTTGGATTGTGGTCATCTCGATCACCACTTTACTACATTTGATTCTTGCCTTGTATTTCATAACAGACTCGGTAAGTGGTGTCATTAGCTGTGCTTTACAAACCACCATTGTATCACTATTAAACTTTCCGATACACATGGGTACTCAAAACGTACTCACACAGAGTTTTTTATTTAATGACTTAACTGCAATGATGTATGCAATAAAACTATTTTCGTTCACCGAAATGAGACTAAGAAAATTTTGTTCGTACTTGAAAATCCATCAGTATTTTCGCTGTAATAAATAACACGGCTCAAAAGATGTTTTATACTGAAAAAGAACTGTATAATTCAATTTTACTTAGCACTTTCATATATGCCGCATGTTACGTTTTGCAGTAACACAAACACATCTTTTCTTCTGGCACCCATGAAAACGTATGGATAAAGAAACTGCTATCTCATTTGTACTATGAATTTATTAATTTTTCATTAAATACGTTTATAAATGCTATGGTTTATGTGTATAAGCCTGAGAAAACCATGAAACTTTTTTCTTAAATATAAAATATTATATTTTTCCTAAATAATAATTTTATTGTGTTATTAACATAGTGATACAAACTGTTATTTGAAGTATTCATCACTTGGATTCTACGAAAACATTCAAGTTAATTCTGAAACATCTTAAATAATGTATCTTCGACTGTTAGGTACTAATTCTACAAAACCAAAATCAGAACTGAAAATAATATTTGAATAACTAATAAGTGGGATCAAGAGTAGCTATAATATAAAGCTGTTTCTTTAACGTTAAAAATTAACGTGCAAACTAATAAATGGTTAATATTTATTTTAAATGTTTATTAGAAGTTTGAAAACTCAATATTTATATATAATACTAGCTGAATGTCTGTAATATGATAATATAATATGGTAAGTGGTGTCTAATTATCATCTGAATATTAAATCTAAATATATATATTTCATGAACGTGTTTTCTAAAAATGGATTATATTACAGTAATAATATATGTATAAACAATCCTTTTTTCTAGTATTTCACTAAAACAAGTTTTTTGTGTATATTTTTTCATCTCCTGTAAGTGGTTCTTGAGAGAACTTTACATAAAAAATCATTATACATTTTTTGCCTAAACTTTTAAAAACTATCTTACCTGAAGCGAAAAACATCAACAGTAATCTATTGTTTCGCCATCTACTGGGTTAAAAAGATATTGAAGCTGTTTAGAGACATACAGTCAATGGTATTTATTTTGTAATATATGATATTATCCGTGATTTAATCTATAATTGTATTCATATTTTTTCCCGAATATTCAAAGAACTTGTTGGAAATATGATAATAAATATATATGAAAAAAATTAACATGATAATAAAAAATGACAAAATCCAGATTCGACTAGGAGTTGAACAAAAGACATTCACATGATAATCGAGCGCTTTTTTTTATAATTGGATGTTAACAAATAATTCATTCAAATCTCTAACTATACTATCACGTTATATAATAAATATGTGTATAATAATTTCTATTTGTTCAGTTGATCTTGGTGTGTTCACAGGGACCTCTACAACTAAAATAAAACAATTATTTACTATCGATCGGGTTTATAAATGTTTTATTTTTATGATAAAATTAAAAATAAATAACAGACGCTGAAATAGATAATGAGTTATCAAAAAGGTTTATGTTAGGAAAGAAAACAGCGCTGCTGGATCTTCGAGGTCAGGTAAAGGCGCACAGTATGAACATCTTTCCAACAATATATACAGATTTAGGTCATTTTATGTGTTTTTCTACACTGAAAGGCTAGGAAAAAAGGTGAAGACTAGAAGTCAACTTTAGAGTTGCATAAGGCTAAGTGGCACAAAATTGTGAGAATAAGTTTAACAACCTTAAGTTTCAAAGAGCTGAAAAAAGAAAAAAGGATAGAAGAAGATCCACAAGAAGACATAAGAAGTAAGGCTTCTAGGCATTCGTTTGATGAAACTTCTATCATATCCCAGAAAAGTTGTTTTTTCTCAGCGCATGTTTTACGAAATACAAATTGGTGACAAACCTAGTTGTAGGTAATACGATTTCGCTGTTCATCATTCAAAGTGCCATAGTTTATTTTACAAAAAAAAACGGAAACAGGAAAAAAATCTACCAGAAATGTCAGATGGTGGACAAACAAAGCTGCAAAGATCAGCTTCGGCAGAGTTGATATCTAACAGTAAGGAGATCAAAGTGAAATCTAATACTGCCCGAGTGTTCACATAATCAGAGCTAGAGAAGATGCATTCACGCTTCTATTGGGTTCAACCTTATTTCTTTTTACAATTGCAAAGGAAATAAAACTTTCTGGGATATGCTTGGTTGTTCATAAAGCGATTTAAAGTCTTCTCCATCTCATGACAATATTTCATGCACTTGAACGTTTTGTCGTTTCAATGTATAACAGAACTAATGTCTGTACAACATATACCAGATCCGAAAATACCTTTTCACACGCAAAGGAAGATAAATTGATCTTGTTCCGCCTACTAGTGAAGTTTTTGTTCTAACGTGTGAAACGAGTGACATTTCAAACTAAACATTGTTGGGGCTATTCCTTAATCAAAGCACCAGAGATATAGTGTCAGGGAAGTTGGGGTTCGAAAAAGGAAAAACAATAATATAAGAGAGTCGTTTTGGACACTCCTTCCTAAAGCAGCCAAGTCTAGCCTCTAGTTCCTAAGGTGTGGTTGCAAAAGTAGAAAATGATGTAGATGAAGATGAACATGTGTTAGTACTGAAATTTAGTGCACTGCGTTATGGAAATGTAGTGGAGATTGAAATTGGGAAAATTTAAAAAGTAAGATTTTCCAAAGTAGTTTTATACTGATAAGGTTCATTGATGTCGTTAAAGATTGGCTCTCATTTATGGATCGAATTCAGGTGGAGTTTTAATTGAAAATAATCATTATCCATCTCAACTTACATATTTTTCCCCCAAAGTGAAAGTTGTTATCAGTGCGCTTGACTGCATTTTAGAAACTTCTTTTTTCGAAGCGATATTAAGTGTGGTAGCCATTTTGCATCGAATTAAAGTGGTTTCACATCTGAAAATGCTGGTTCGCAAGGTTTTTTTCACTATACATAGGTTCAAACTTTTATCTAAAGTGCACACTTTTGTATCCATATTTAATAGTTTTTTTTTAGGTTTCGTGGCTGGCATCTTAAGTTTAGTGTCCACCATGACCAAGTTCAACTGACAACATATTCGAAACTCTTTAGACATACTTTACCAACTATCATGGCTTCTTCCATGCTTTTAAACCATAATTAACAGCTTAAATCACAATTTTATTTATCCTAGATATGATGGCGGCCATCTTGGATGAAATTCAGCTGGCTGTGTATCTGAACGTTAACAGTATTACCATATCTACCATCATGTCAAGTTTCACGCTTTTAACCCATTGTGCACAATTTTTCACCATATTGATGGCTAATATGTGTTTGATTTGTAAAAGATAGCCCAAATAAATATTACTGCCTTACATAAATTCCAAGAAAATGTACCAAAGTATTTTTTCTTAAATATTTGTACAATAAAAATAGTTTTGAAATGAAGTAAATTCACGGTATTCATAACAAATTAAATGTACGTTTCGAACTATGAAATGCATATTATAAACACACACCACATTAATTATAAATAAAAATGTCCTTGTATCTCTCTGTAGTTTCAATTTGCTAATATAATCTTTGAAATCTAATGACATAAAGTAAGGTTGTTGCATTTACCTATCTAGTCTTCTTGTGTATTTAACAAAACATAATTATGAATCTCAAATAATACATAAAATAATGGTATTGTTGTTAAATTGGTCATCATTTTACATTGCCTTTTTAAAGATACCAATATATATGGAATTGTTCGGGTAACTTTTACATAATTGAATAATGTCACTTTTTTCACTGTTTTAGCCGCTATGAAGATTCTTTGTGATTTCAAATCAGTAGTTCACCTCTAGCTAGCAGTTGCTATTTATTTAAAACTAAGTTTATTCAATGATTTCTATTTCACATTTTAAGACTCGTATTATATTAAAATGTTTTAATACTTTTTAAGACATGTGATTTTTAATACTTGTAATAACCTATAAGGATTCGTTAATGTGTAGTGTTTCATTATTTCAAAACAAACTATCATGATTTATAATCTACATATTTCGGTACAATATATCTAAACACGAAATCGCTCATATTAAGACAATATACACTTGCACCTACGTTTACTGAATTAATATAATTTACTACCACTAGAGAGGATCCACTACACAGCAGTTAACATATTTTGTTGTTATTTTTGTCCTACTAGAATTGTCCTTCCAATAAATATTTTATGCAATTCCTTATCAGAGCCTATACACAATGGTGCAGTTTTTGATCAAATGGTGCAGTAGGTGATTCTAAATGGGTAAAAACCATAATAAAGTGAATATGTTTTCAAATCCCCAAGGAGAGTAAATATCTGATCTGTCGCTTAAATACAAGAAACAGAACATCAGCATTTAGAATGTTTACTTTTTAGCGTTTCTGGCATAACTTAAAAGTACACTAATGTGTACTTAATACTCATACTCACTAATCCTCATACTTAATATGCAGGCCTTTTAAGTACTTTAGATCTTGTGCTTTATACATTTTTTGAATTTTTTTCTATTGTCTTATACTTGTATTATACCTTTTTATAAGTTCCGTAACCAAGTTTTATTCTTTTTTAAAGATTACTTTCGTTAACAGTATTGATAAGTTTGATTGTTTTTTTTAATTTCGCGCAAAGCTACACGAGGGCTATCTGCGCTAGCCGTCCCTAATTTAGCAGTGTAAGACTAGAGGGAAGGCAGCTAGTCATCACCACCCACCGCCAACTCTTGGGCTACTCTTTTACCAACGAATTGGTATTGGATTGACCGTCACATTATAACGCCCCCACGGCTGAAAGGGCGAGCATGTTTGGTGTGACAGGGATTCGAACCCGCGACCTTAAAATGCGAGTCGAGTGCCTTAACCACCTGGTCATGCCGGGTGTATTGTTAATAATGTTTAATATATATTTATAATTTACAAGACCTGGTAGAGGATGTTGTTGATCAGCTATAGTTGCCTTCCCTGTTTTCTAATACTTCAACCTTAAGGATGGCTAATGCAAATAACGTGTTTTCTATGTATAAGAGACATAAATATTGTAATTTCAAAATTAGATATTTCTTTAATATGTTTCCTAAAACATTAAATCCCCAATTAAATTCCGTCATAAAGCGTTCTTAAACTAAGTAAATTATATCTTAAAATCTTGTTTAATGAGCTCTCATGTAGGTTGCAGATTTTATTTTATCGAATCAAGTGAATAGTAGTATCTCAATAGATATATATATGGCCTTACTCTGTGTGACTTAACACGGAAAGAAGTCAGTGGCTGCGAATTATTGAATATTCAGATGCTGTTGTTTCTACGATCTAATTATGTACTTTGAAATTTCAATTTGTTCTACAATTCTCAATAGCCATAATATATATTAATTGTAAATCAACTGAAAAGTCGCGAGTCTTGTTCCCAGCAATATTTCTCTTCGATACACTACACTTTGAATTAAAAAATATATTTTTGAGAAATGCAAACGGATACAACTAACTAGTAAGCTATATAATAAGGTTTGTTTAAAGTTAAGCACAAAGCAACACAAACATTCACTGTTTTAACTTGTTTCCTTGAAAAATTTGTTCGTACTTAAGCACAAAGCTACACAATGGCTATCTGTGCCCTGCCCACCACGGGTCAAAATCCGTATTTTAGCGTCGAAAGTCCGCAGACATACCACTGTGCCACAGGGGCGCAAATAATAAGAGTTATTGATCTTTTTTTTTTTTTTTTTTGACACAGCTTATATTTTCCTTGGGATGGTTTGTTAGTTCCTAGATGGATAATATTTATTTCTTTTGTAGTAATACTTAAATAATATTTCTAGTCTTATAATGGAGCTGATATAGATTTACTATAACGTTTTTGTAAAAATAATCAATAAAGGCTACACCGTCGAAAGAGTGAAAAAATTAATTATATGGGGAAAATCTTGAACTATCAACCTAATGAAAACATGAAAACTATATTTTCCTATTATGATAAAACTTGTATGACTTTTACATATGTGTGTTTTGGTGTTGATATGGATTTGGATATCGTACATTTCAACGTAATCATTTTTGTATGAATGTCAAAGTGTATAGAAATATACACTTTTTTTATATTTACAGTCTATGAACATCATCCTTGGAATTTTATTTGCAACAGACTTAGCTATTTGTGCTATTAATGTAAGTATGTGAAGCAGTTTCTGCATTTATTACGTTTTGTTTTTTTTTCATATTAAACTACATTTTAACTAAAAGAAATCTAATCAAAATTGTATATTACAAGTTTTTTGTAAAATTTATTTAATTTTGGTTATCCATAAGATTACTTACCTCTTGCGTTTTCTATAGGGTTTATTCAAAAATATGCTATTCAATCTTAATGAAATTTAATTACAATTTGAATTTTAAAAAAATGCACGAATAGAATAATTAAAAACATTTTTTTTAACTTTAAGAGCAACGGTACGATGTTTTAAGTTAGAAGTTTGGAAGAGTTTTCAGGGACTATCGATATAACTTTATCAATACATTTCACATTTTTATGGCATTTTAATAAGAAATGAATTACCAATGATCCAATTAGGTTAAAATATGCTTCATTTTCCAAATATGAAACATTATAACAAAACTTTTGAAGCAAAATTACAATGTTATTAGTGCTAATTAAAGTAATATTATCGAATTTCTAAGCAGAATGTTGAACAAACTTTTTCTACTTAAAATATTCTCAAAATCGATTAAATTTTATTAATTGCGAATGCCATGTTTATCAAACAAACATTCACTGCTTTAACTAGTTTCCTTGAAGTAATAGATATTATTTATATAAATATTTGTTTCTACGTGGATGGCTGAATTGTAAGGAGTCTTTTGATTCCACGAAAGACAAACGTCGAATTATATTCCTTTTAATTGGCTGAGAAGTAATATCATATACAAATGTCAATTCAAAAGACTCAACAACATACTTTTTTTAGGATTCATAAGTTGGGAGTTATGTAAGTGATAATAAATAATATTGATTAATGTAATCTTTCGAGATTTACAAATCAAGAAGGATCTAAGGTTCTTCACTACACAATTTTTTTACGTAGAAACTTGTGTTGACGTCTGTATACTTCTGAGGCCTTGAATAGTACTTGACAAACAAAACCCAGAACTAAAATTTTAGTTTTATTTGATTAGTTATCTGATTCCAAATAATTAGATGAATTATTGTATAGTTTTAATGTTATTCTACATATGAGGCCTATAACTACTTCGTGCATTCTCATAATAAACAAGACAAGTACATAAACTATATAAAATAATTGGTGTAAGTAGCTAATGCTTTGAGATTTGAACCGCCATTATTTCCTATTACTTTTAAAATTTCTTAATAGTATTTGGGAAGATGAAATAGTCCCTGCGTTAAAATTCATTATATTATTTTGTTATTAATGAATATCATAATCTCATTAATAGGTAAGCTCCCACTTTAGTATTGCTAATGGATGACATATTAGATTGGGAGATAGTAAAAACGAAGAGTACTATAAGTTATATACTTGAATCATTATATTTAAGTAAACGCAGAACAAAATGAAAAGAACATTACCTTTTGTCTCAACAAACAACTAAAAACCTGATATTTACAAAGTAAAGTAAGTAATGAAATGAAATTAAACGTGTAAGTAAATACGTCTTGCTTAAAATATCGGAAATAACGCACATCAAGTTTGTTTTATTTTATTTTCAATTTCAAGTGTAGATTGGTTGAAAGCATTGAATAGATATATTAAACAACAGCGTATTAAAAAGTACACCATACCATCTGGTATAGGTCGATGAAACCGTTATTGTGTTGGCATATTTTTCGCCCCAAGCACAGTTTCTATCACACAAAATATTATGGAAAAGAAAAAAAAAGATACGGTTCTAATATATGCTCTTTCGCGACTTAGCGCAGCGTTATATGGTAATACATGATAAAATAATTGCGTACATTATCAGTATCTAATAAAAGTAACCTTAGGTGTAAAAAAGAGGTGCGGCCAAAAAAAGGATTGAGCGTGCGACTTAAAGGAATGAAATCAAATTTGGCAGTCAAACTGGTAGCTACACTTATATCATTGATAAGAATTTTACAGCACATTTTTATTAATTAGTTAGCCTAGGTTGCTGTGTTTGTTCATCTTAGGGCATGAAGGTGGGTAAAACAAGTACGCGGCCTAAATTAACTAATGAATGAATATTTGCTATAAAATTATTATCAATGATATAAGTGTAGCTACCAGTTTGGCACAATTTGGATTTTATTCTTTAAGTTGCACGCTCAGTCCTTTTTTTCCACACCTTTTTCTCACACCTAAGATGTTTTTGATTAGATATC